GTTCCATACCCATGCGAAATTAATTTAGTAAATTGGATAAATTTAATAAATGATTTTTAACCATTTTCTTTTAAAAGTTATGTTTCAACATAATAGATGGATCCATTCTTGGTTCTTCCGCCCTATGTTTTTACTTTTTACTACATATTAAAGTTGGATCAATCATTCTGATAATATTTTTATATAATATTATTCTTTTATATAATATTTTACATACTACTTCGTATTTTACTTTATTTCAATATTTTACTGCTTTTCATGCGATCAAGAAGAGAACACGAATTTTCCTAATTCCTATGGCCACCGATTATATAGCGGAGTATTACCCAAAATGGGACTAAAAAAGTTTGAAAATTCCAAAATAGGACTTCCACGTTTTTATTCCCAAAATAGGACTAATTACTGCCATGTTTTGGCAGTACCAGACTTCAAACATGACAGTATTTTCCAAATTTGGCAGTAATTAGTCCTATTTTGGGAATAAAAACATGACAGACCTATTTTGGAATTTTTGAACTTTTTTAGTCCCATTTCGGGAACTTTCCCTTATATATCATATACTTCGTTTATACGATAGTATTATATATGTATATACTTCCTCCGTTCTTTTTTAGTTGCAACGGTCAACATTTCACATTTACCAACGCACATCTTTGACCGTAATTATATCTTAATCTCTATCAGTAAAAAATATTTAAAAATTAGATTTTGAAAACTTGTAATGAGATGAATTGAACAATATTTTTTTAAAAAAATAATTTTCATAAAATAATAATATAAAATGTAGTCAAAGTAGAACATGTGAATAGTGTAAAACTCAACATGTTGCGATTAAAAAGAGACGGAGGATAGTATTACTAGGAGGATTGCAGAGAATTCTTGTATAGTTGTATATATGCAGAGTATTACGGAGTAGAAACGAGATTATAGGCATTATTGTTCCTTTCCCATGTTTTTGCCGAAAAAGAAGCCTTATTTACGTGAGATATCAAGTTCATATGCCTTTCTACACATAGACATTATCCCTTCACACCGTTTAATTTATTTTTTCCATGTCAGCCATGGACTACACGCATTGGAGGTAAAAACAATTACTCCAAGTCTAATTTGATGATGTGGCAAACATTATCAAGACTAGACATCAATGCATTGTGGATGCTCTAAGCATGACAAAAACGCATTATTACTTTTCTGGTGTAAGGAGTTGCTTGAATAAATTACATGTGTTATACATTGGTTCAAAGCTTCAAATGACAACATAAAATAAATTTATACAGGCAATTTGTTTAAAGGACCTACACGAGAAAAGTAATTATGCGTTTCTGTCATGTTTAGCATGGGCTAACATGCGTTGTCCAGATACATGTGATCCAGGCAGTACGTTTGGATTTCGGTGAGGAAGTTTTATTTATGTCTCATCAAAGGAAATCACATTGTTTTTCTCATTGCAGACACAAACACACAAGTAATCGAGTATATGAAAATTGTACAGATATTGTGTGTTCATATCAAGTATTGAGTCAAATATAGAAAATATTATAAATATTGTGAAAGATGTTTCTGGGAATTAAATAATCACTACATTTCATAATAAAACTTACTTAGACATTATATGAAGGGGGAAATTATTTAAATATCCTAAAATTTGAAAGAGTGTGAGATAAGTGCTCTAAACTTCCACATGTAATCTATATATAAAAAACTTCATATAGAAAGTTATATTAGCACCATGATCATATAGTTTTTCACAAATACAATTTTATGGTATTAAATACATAATTTAAAATACACAAAACATTTATGAGGGTGTAATTAATAATAAATTGTACCGAATGTAATATTCATTATTTCAGATATGAAATTTTAGATTGTTAATTGCATTCTAACTTAGCTTAGAATATTTTAAATGTAACAATTCCAATAAGTTTATATTTGTAAAAAAATACAATCACAATGCGAAAATAATTTTTTATGTAAAGTTTGGATTATATATGTTACATATGCAAGTTTGAGGTGCCTATTTCACACCCCATTAAAGTTTGGGGTAATTAGATTATTTCTCCCTTACATATATGGGGTTTAGATAAATATATAACCAAAATTATACTTAACTTAGTCTTTGATAAATATATAAATCTGATATATATAAATATATAAATCTGAGACCGGTATTTGATAAATAAATATATCCCTAAAAATAACTATAATCAAATACCGGCTTCGGCTTTAGCATCTATTTAACCGAAATTATATTGAATTCAACACTTTTTGAAATTCTTGTTCCGTTATAGATTTATTTTGACTTTAGACCGATATTCAACTTTAAGTATTAATGAAATATTAATTGTTCGTAATATTATACTGTTTATTATGTAATCTACCAGTCAGTCAAATAGTGGGTCAGAACTTAATTAAAATTAGTCACAGACAATACATGGACATCCTCGATCCATTTACACTTCTACATTTCTTGGATAACCCAGGTCCAATCATACATGGACCTAGGTTCGTTGGTATTATCATTTATGCTCAACCATTAAGATATCTTATTCATGTTTGCGCTATGGGATAAGCTCATAGTATCATTGCTACTAATTCATTCCTCAATTCAACATTTTAATAATTCTTGTTCTGTTTTAGACCGACTTCAATTTTAGATCGATATTAAACTTGCGGTATAAATGAAATACTAATTGCTAGTATTACTAAACTGTTGATTATATATGTAATCTACCAGCTAATCAAATAGTGGGTTAATATTTAAATAAGACTCAATGAAAAGAATATATATCTTTCCCAGGTTTCAAAAATCATATTTTTAATTTTCTTGATAAACACATGTTTTTGTTTATATTTTGTTTTTTACTGTAGAATTTTTATTGTATTTGAATTTTGTTTCTAGATCATAAATCTCCTTGATGAGTATGTGTTTATTTATGTATTAGATAATGTTAAAATATCATGTCAAATCCAAAATTAATTCTTTATCTAGAACTATATGACTCAAGTTAGTAAGTGTAATGTTAATTCTTTTGTATTGATTTATATAAGGGAAAAATGATATAATTACCCAAAATTTATTGGGGTGTTAAATAAGTACCCCAAACTTGCATATGTAATATATATATACCCCAAACTTTATATAAAAGGTTATTTCCGCACTGTAATGTATATTCTTTTACAAATATAAAATTATTTGAATTGTTACAAAATTTAAAATATTCTAAGCTTTGTTAGAATGCAGTTTAGAATTGAAAATTTCATTTGTGAAATATCACATCCGGTACAATTTATTTTTAGTGTCACCCTCATAAATGTTTTGTGTATTTTTATTTATGAAATCAATACCATAAAATTATATTTGTGAAAAATATATGATCATGGTGCTAATATAAAATTTTATATTTAGTTTGAGGTAAATATATTACATGTGCAAGTCTCGGGCACTTACCTCACACCCTTTCAAAGTTTAGAATTATTAAATTATTTTCCCCTTTATATATGGTTTAAAATGAGTTTAATAATATGATTATTTAATCACTAGAAACACGTTTCACAATATTTGTAATATTTATCTATATTGACTCAATACTTGATACGAACACGCAAAAACAATGTGCGTGTCACATGATACTTGATACTTGATACTTTTATCCTTTAATGATATGTGTCACATGAATAAAACTTCCTCGCCAAAATCAGAAGGACGTATTGCCTAGATCACATGTGCTCTTATTCAACCTTAAGTATGAATGAAATATTAATTGTTCGTAATATTATATTGTTGATTATGTAATCTACCGGTCTGTTAGATAGTGGGTCAGGATTTAAATAACAGTTGTCACGAACAATGCATGAACTTCCTGATCAGTTCCAATCATACTTTTACTTTTCTTGGTAAATACAAAGTATATATATATTTTACTTTCAAGATTTTTGTATCAAACTTTTATACATCTCTCCATCAACCGTGCTTGAGAAGATCTTTACTATATACTATGTATTACTTTTGTTTCGTTTAAAGGTTCACATTATACAATAACATGATTGTTTAGACAATAATTGAATAAGATTATTCGAATATATTTTGAGAAAATAGTTTTATAATGATGTCATTAATGATTACTGTTATACTATAGATGCATTATTTTTAATATTTGATGATTGAATTATCATTTAAAAATGTTATTTTTTAACGAAAAATGTTAATGTTTTTCTAAAATATAAATATTAATCTCTTTAAGAGACATCTAGGAAAGGAAAATGTGAATTTTTTGAATGGGTTGGAGTGATATATATGCATATAAAAAATGATATTTGTATCCACTCTTATACCTACTTTTGTGTCCACCTATATTTGTGAAGTGCTTTTTTTTTTGTCTGTGAACCCGGTTCACAAACAATATTTTTTTTGTGAAAAATATTGCCTGTAACCGGGGTTCACAGATAAAAAAACATTTGACAAACATGATGAGTATAAAGTGGTATAAGATTGAGTACATGATATACATATAGAGTCCGTTTGGTAGCACAAAAATCGGCTGTTTTGGCTGTTTCTGCTGAAATTTATGAAGTTCTGGCTGAAGTGGCTGTTTTGGCTGATTCTGCTGATTCTAGAAAAAAATATTTTAAAAATATATTTTATTAATAAAATAAAGAAAAGATTACATGTAAAATAGCTAAAATGGTCATCTACAGTAACTTCAGCCAATACAGCCAGAAAAGTAACTTCAACCTTACTTTTTCTGCTTATTACACAATTCAGCACGCGAAAGTAAAAATTACGTGTTTGGTGAAAAAGCTGGCTGATAAGCCTGATAAGCCGAAAAAAGGGGTCTCCAAACGGGCTCATAGACATATAGCCCAACCCGCTTTCCGGGCCAAAAAAAAGCCCAACCCGTGCTTACCGTACGAAATTAGGTGTACTTGTCTGGCTCATGATTTATGTGATTTAAAAAAAATATTCGGAGTATATATACAGCCCAACCCTCCAATTTCATAACCGTAATCGAGGTTTTATGCGTAATATATTTGTACGGAGTATTACGTATGACTTCTCTCCAAATTGATTCATCTCTCTAGAAAACCCTGATCCTACGATGCATAGACCAGAGTCAGCTCCCGCCGGGCCGCCGCTCTACCCGGCCCGAAAGTCTGGTTGCGCGCCAGGCAGTTACTACCATCAACAACGGTTGCCGTACCGGCAGCAGTGGAGTCACCCTCCCAGCAACTACCGTTTTCGTACTCCGGAGTCGAGGCCTTCGCCGAAGCCGCCAAATTTCATAATCCACCTTCGTTCCAGAGATCATGCCCTGCCGAGGTCAGAATTTGAGAGGCTTATTGTGGAACTGCCGGAGCGGCCGCAGGATTCATTCTTCTCTGAGGGGAGTAGGGCCTTTTCCGGAAAACTGTTCTACGAGCAGTGGTCAGGGGCCCTCGAGGTAATTGTGCACTTGTGGAGACTACGGCTCGAAGGAGGGTGTTCTGTGACTCCCTTTCTGGAACAGAATGTAGTGGTCCCTTCGGATAAGCTCGAGTTGAATGATCGCCTCAAAGAGGTTTTCTTGGAGAAACTTGAGGCATTAATGGATGGGGAACTAGTGCAGAAGTGCAGGAAGAAGTTGATTCTAGTACTAGACGAGATAAGTAAATTGACTATTCAGCTCGGGAAACTTAATCGTCTGGGTCATTCAGCTAATCTCTTAAAGAAAAAAGAAGTCTTGATGGGCGAGCGGGATTTGATAAGTAAAAGGATTAAGGAGTTTAAGAATGGGATTACGTGTATCATGCTTTATTTGAAGGGGGATATGGAGGAAGGTGATTCCGAGGTGCACATAAGTCTTTTTAAGCTCAACAGAAATCCGGATTGGGACCAGATTAATCATATAGTAAAGAGGGAGTGTAAAAGGCTAGAGGATGGCTTGCCCATTTTTTCTTTCAGGAAAGAGATTCTCAGTCAAGTATTTTGCCACCAGGTGACTAATTGTCTTTGCTACTTCATTTTATGTTTATTTTAGTACTACGTATTAATGTATCTTTTATTTTTTATATTTTCAACTATATATTCACCATTTTGTGAATTAGTGAAGGCCCTTTCTTTATACCCCCAATATTGCAAGAAGAGTTTTTGCTTTTTGTTCTGGGCATTTTATTTTCAAGCAGTAAAACTTGTTAGAGGGGGTTGATGCTTGGAAATAGTCAATAGATGTTGGATAGCTGTACTCTATGCTTTCTAAAAGGTCACCTACATGATTCTTAATATTGGAACTCTGATACCCAACTTGTCCTGTCATCTCTAATGGGTTTTTCTAATGTACTCGAGTACCCATAGATTATCAATCCATTCTCCAGGTTCTCTTTGTTTCTTTTGATAATGTCAAATGAATGTAATTAGGCGGCCAATTTCCATATAGTGGTAATTGCAGTTGGATGTGAAGCTAGTTTGGACATCACATTTGTTGCAGCAGAAAATATATAATTATAAGTGTGTAGGATCTATTTATGTGTTCATGTATGCCTGCCTCACAATAAAGTGTTGTTTTCACACTTGATATTATAAGCAAGCACCACCAAAGAGATTCTATCAAATATTAACATTGCTCTACCTTAGTTTAAAAAAGTGCGCCTAAGGCGCTAGGCGCTTATAGGCGATAGGGTCATCGCATTTTACATACCCAGACGGCTCAGGTTCTGAGAGGCGATAGCTTCCGATGCTTTTGGGAGCCTATTGCGCTTCTGTGAGGCGAGCGCTTTTCATGCCTCAAGGAAGTGTCCGATGGAATAACTTTGGCGATTCCCATTCCATTTTTTTGGCGCTTCAGATGCTCCTTCCAGAAATTTTGGCTCCAATTCTCTCTAGTCTTCTCTTTCTTTTCTGCCTTCTGGGTTTGCCGTTTGGTTAGTCCCTGCTTCCGCAGTTCCGTTTTTTATTTTGCTGCGTAGCTGTTTGGTTAGTCTCTTGCGTAGCTGTTTGAGTTTCCGACTTTTACTTCGATGCTTTCTCGCGTCGCAGAGGCCAGAGGTAAGTGTATTTATGTGTTTTTTTGTCTTCTGCTATTTCTTCTCTTTTATTTTAAGTTGTTATATTTATAAAAATATTAAAATTATTTAAATAAAAAGTTAGATAACAGATACATATTATCTTTTGCTATTTATAAGTTTTGATAGATAACTGAAAAAAGTTAATTCTTTTAAGTTTGTAAGTATTTCAAGTGTTGTAAGTTTTTAAATTTATATAATTATTTAAATTATTTAAATTTACACATCTGTCTGTAATTATTTTACAGTAAAATTATTTAAATAAAAAGTTAGATAACTGATACATATTATCTTTCGCTATTTATAAGTTTTGATACTTGATAGATAACTGAAAAAATAAGTTTTTTAAGTTTTGATCCGTGAGGCGAGCGCCTCATCGCCTCGCGCCTCGAGTAATAAGTCAATGAAATCGCCTCAAGACGCCTCGTGCCTTTTAAAACTAAGTGCTCTTCAAGACTACAAACAACAACAACAATGTTTGTAACAATTGAAATCTGCCTTTATGTTTGATGATGTTGATTTTGTATGTACATATAATCATTCCAATCACATTTTCCCCCCAAACTGAAACAGATGTTATTTGTGTAGGTTACTATTTTGACTGGCGAGACAGGTTCGGGAAAGAGCACTCAGTTGGTACAGTTCCTTGCTGATTCAGGAATTGGTGGTAATGATGCAATTGTCTGCACTCAGCCCAGAAAACTTGCTGCTGCCTCCTTGTCAAGTAGGGTTAAACAAGAATGTCTTGGGTGTTATGAAGATAATTCAGTTATGTGCTATCAGTCATATTCATCTGGCCATCAGTTTGATTCAAAGGTGATATTTATGACGGATCATTGCCTACTCCAGCAGTATATGAGTGATTGTAATCTATCAAAGATATCATGCATTATAGTTGATGAAGCGCATGAAAGAACCCTAAACACTGATCTTCTTCTAGCATTGATAAAGAATTTGCTTGAACTGAGGCGTGATATGAGGCTCATCATCATGTCTGCTACAGCTGATGCAATTCAGCTTGCAAACTACTTCTACGGATGTGGAACATTTCATGTCGTTGGAAGAACCTTTCCGGTTGACATTAAATATGTCCCCTGCGACTACTCTGAAGGTTTTTCTGGTTCATCTCCTTCTTACCTTTCTAATGTTGTCAGGATGGTGCTTGAGATCCACAACACAGAGGGAGATGGAACGATTCTTGCATTTTTGACTTCTCAAGTGGAAGTAGAATTGGCTTGTGAGAAGTTGCAGTTGCCAACTGTCATCACACTACCTTTACATGGAAAACTGTCGAGTGAAGACCAAAATCGAGTCTTTTTCGATTTTCCAGGAAAGAGAAAGGTCATATTTGCTACAAACATTGCTGAGACATCTTTGACCATTCCGGGGGTCAAATATGTTGTTGATTCTGGTCTGGTGAAACAAAAATGGTTTGAACCTGGGAATGGCATGAATATTTTGAGGGTCTGTATGATTAGTCGAAGTTCCGCAAATCAGCGATCTGGGCGAGCTGGGAGAACCGAACCTGGAAAGTGTTACAGACTCTTCTCAGAAACTGATTTTGAGAGTATGCCTTGTCATGAAGAACCAGAAATCCGCAAGGTTCACCTTGGTATTGCATTATTGAGGATTCTTGCCTTGGGTATAAAAGATGTCAAGAAATTTGATTTTATTGATGCACCTAACCCAGAAGCAATTGAGATGACATTCCATAGTCTGATTCTGTTAGGATGTATCACTCAAATTGATGATGGTTATCAGATAACTGCAGATGGACGGCTTCTAGTGAAGCTGGGTATTGAGCCTCGAATAGGGAAAATACTCCTTAGTTGCTTCCGCAACCGTTTAGGTAGAGAGGGTCTTGTTCTCGCCGCTGTTATGACAAATTCTAGCAGCATTTTCTGCAGAGTTGGCACAGAAGTCGAAAAACTAAAATCTGATTGTAATAAGGTGCAATTTTGCCATCCCTCTGGTGATCTTTTCACATTTCTATCTGTATACAAGGAGTGGGATGCCTTGCCTCAAGAAAAGAAAAATAGGTGGTGCTGGGATAACAGCATCAATGCCAAAACCATGAGGAGATGCCAAGAAACTCTTCAAGAATTGGAAACATGCCTTCAGAATGAACTGAGAATCATCATTCCGAGTTACTGGCGCTGGAATCCCCAAATGCATTCTGAACATGATGAAACTTTGAAAAGGATAATCCTTTCATCATACTCTGAGAATGTGGCGATGTACTCTGGTTATGACCGACTTGGTTATCAGGTGGCGCTTACTGGGAAGCATTTTCAACTGCACCCTTCATGTTCGTTGTTGAATTTCTGTGAAAGACCGGGTTGGATTGTGTTTGGTGAGATTTTGGTAGCTGCTAAAGAATATCTGGTTTGTGCTACCGCGTTTGACTTCACCGCTCTATATGCACTTTCTCCTCCTCCATCGTTTGACTTTTTGAAGATGGATGCCCAAATGCTGCAGAAGAAGGTTTTGACGGGGTCCGGAAGCATGCTGCTGAAGAGGTTCTGTGGAAAATCTAATTGTTGTCTCAACAATCTTGTCTCGCGAATCAGAACGTCATGTATGGATGAACGCATTGGCATTGAGGTGAGCGTTGATCACAATGAGATTACATTATATGCGTCATCTGGAGACATGGATGAAGTTTTAACGACTGTGAATGAAGTATTGCAACATGAGCAAAAATTGTTAAAAAATGAATGTTTGGAGAAATGCACTCACATGGGAGGATCTACATTTTCAGCTTCTTTTGCTCTTTTTGGAGCTGGTGCAGAAATAAAGCATTTGGAGCTGGATAAGAGATGTTTGACTGTGGACATATATCATTCAAATGTTAATGCAATTGATGATAAGGAATTGTTGATGTTTTTGGAGAGGAACTGTGGTGACATAGGTGCGGTGCACAAGTTTTCAGGCTCAAGTCATGACATTGAGGAGAAGGAACAATGGGGCAGGGTAACATTTGTCACCCCTGAAGCTGCTAACATGGCCACCGCATTAAATTTGGTTGAATTTAGTGACGGGATGCTAAAATTAGTTCCTTCGAAGATAACATATGGTGGTGATCAAAAGATGTTCTCATCTCCTTTGCTCAAAGCAAAAATTTATTGGCCTCGTAGGAAAAGTAGAGGGACGGTAATTGTTAAATGTGACCCCAGGGATGTGAATTTTATGGTTGGTGACTTCTCGTCCGATTTTATAATAAGAGGAAGGCATGTTCATTGTGAGCAAAGCAAAAAATTCCCGAACAGCATAGTTCTTACTGGAGTTGGTAAAGAGGATTCTGAAGCTGAGATCTTTGAAGAGTTGAGTGTATTGACACACAGGAAGATTTCAGATGTGTTCCTCATTAGAGGAGATGCAGTAGAACATCCTTCACTAGATGCTCTTGAGGAAGCTCTTTTGAGAGAAGTATCCTCCTTGATGCCTAAAAGGGGTCCCCATGGCAACTCTCTTCGTGTTCAGGTCTTCCAACCTGAACCGAAGGATACTTACATGAGAGCAACCATCACATTTGATGGAAATCTTCATCTAGAAGCTGCGAAGGCATTGGAACAAATTGACGGGAAAGTCTTGCCTGGATGTCTCTCATGGCAGAAGATAAAATGCCAACAAATGTTTCAGACTACACTATCATGTTCTGCATCAGTATACCATGTCATTAGGATGGAGCTGGATGCTTTACTTGCTAGGTTCAAGAAGCGTAAAGGTACTTTTGATATGACAACTGTTTATTCTTTATACTTTAGCCACTTTATATTTAATTACTCTGTATAAGTATAAATACATTTACATGCTGCATGACATATGGTACTACTTGGTTATAGTGCAATGATAATTTTTTAGTAAAAAATGATATTGAAAGGACATACTGTAAAAAATAATACTCCCATTGTCCTATAGTTGCTGCCTTTTGCACCAAGCCGTCAAGTGCTCACCACGCTTAAGAGATGTCTCCTCAGTACACATTTGCACTAGTACACCTACTTTTACTTAAACTAGTATCACACCCGTGCGATGCACGGCCGAAATATATAATCCAAATATTTAAATCAAAGTGTAATACTTCATCCACATTTTAAAGATTGCCACATTAGCATTAACACATTTTAAGGAGGAAATTAGGAGTAATGGATATTGAATAGTGTAAAAAAGTATGAGAGAAGGTATAAAATATTAAAAGGAGAAGATAAAAACTTAAAAGAAAATGGATAGGATTAATCCCAACCATTAGTGACGCTTGAAATAACCCAAAGTATCAATTTTTTCAAAATAATACCAACTATTAAAAAAAATCTTAAATTACTCCACTCACTTATAATAAACCATAAATAACATAACTAAAGATTTTTAACTCATGCTTCTACCAGTGAGAGGACATTTGCCTCTAACTATTAATCACTGAGACTTGTTAGTAATAGCCTTGACATCTATTGTTAAAAAACATTGAATTTGAAATTTCACTCTAAATATTTGAAAAATTCACCGAAGATCACACGTTGCTTTTTCTGATATCTAATAATGGTAAAGTCGAAGATCTTTTGGGATGGGCTATGCTACTATTGTCACTTGGTGACTCAAATCGTCCCTGCCAGGGAAGGATCTATGTACTACCTATGGTGGGCTGAAGCCCAGGGCGGTTTAAATCTTTTCCAAATTTTTAGTGTAATTTTTTTGATTTTTTATATTTAGCCTACCCCACCAATGTTTAAGTCTAGTATAATTGCATTTTAGCCTAGGGTAACTCAAATTCCTGGATCCGCCCCTGGTCCCTGCTTAACATGTCCGCCTCTCTAATTTTCTGTTGTTGATAGTGAGAGAGCACTGAGAATGATGAAAGTATCTTTGCTAAAAAATACTCCGTACTAAGAAATGAAATGATCTTATTTAGTTCTAAAAAACTCATCATACAATACATACTTGTTTAGGAGTTAAATAACAGAAAATAAGTAAAATTTTCACATCTAACCCATTAAAAGTAGCATACAATTAAAACCTAACATTAGAAGCCTCGAGGATAAGCATTAGGTTTCACCAGACTCCAGACCACCCATCTTCACCTTCGAGCATATATCTGCTCTTTCTGGGTTTCTTTCTTCAAAATTTTCTAGCTCAAATGCATATAGATGATATCTCCGATTAGACCGATTAGATCGAATCTGAATATATGACTACACAAACAAATCTGATTTCAATCAAACTGTTCTTACGATCGGAGCACTTCTAGGATGATGCACCACGAAGGACAAATGCATGGCGATCTGCGAAGAAGAAGCTAAACGGCTAGATGAAGTTCTCTGAGTCCCTGACATGATAATACTTTTCGGGAGTTCACTGAATAATGTCCATATTTTTTTCTATCTAGCTAGTGTATAATTAACACTTATAATTCTATCCCTGATTTCCTATAATCCTATGCAAGGTCTTCTAATGGAAGTTTGATGAAAAACACCAAGTGTGAATCCTGTGGTAGTTTCTTGTCCCTAATCTCACTGCATCAAAATTATCTTTTGTTTAATTTGATTTAAAAATCAAATCACGTTTTGGCCGTTTTTTATTACAACCATTATTTAATTAAACCGTATCAATAATTTGTTTAGCAAATATGTTTAATTTAGTATTATCAAACACAAATAATAATTAAAATATATTAAATCTTTCAGTGATTTACAATTAAAACATCTACGCTTCATATATTCTACCTATGCTTCAAATCTATGCTTTTTTATAAAAAGAGTTCTGCCATTTGGAGAAGAAGCATTTATAGATATATTCAAAAGTAACATTTATATGGAAAAACTAAGAGCACGTACAGTATAGTACCTATTTTACATTAACATCATCATATCTACTATTCAACGTATAAAACCCCCCTAGGTGATAAAAATTTACATGATTAAGCACAACTAAGAATAAACTTGTTGTCATGTTAAACATAGAAAGTCAATCATTTGTCCCAAGAGTGAAGAAATCACAAGAAGAACATTAGCGTGATTATACATGAAGAATCAATTTTCTAATTAAATTCATTCTGTTGTTCATACAAAGCTATATATGCTTTTATACTATTTATACTATTTTGTAATAAAGTAGTACGTATAAACTAAGAATGCTTTTATAAACTACTACGTATTTTATTAAAAATGAAAACAAAACTTGTATTTTATCAAAAACAACAACCGTTAGCTTTAGCAGGACTGCAGAGGATTCAAACTTGGAATGCGCAACACCTTCATTACTTTGTATAGCGCTATAGCAGCAAGAATTTCAGATTCTTTAGGTATGAAGAAGCTGTTATTTATATACTACGTATGTACGTACTGAGTATGTTGTGTTGGGAAAATAAAAGGTCATTAGATTTACTCTTGAATTGTACATAGTAATTTTTAAAAAGAAAGGTCATTAATTAATATTCTAATCCCATATATGACTACGATAAAAAAGAATCCCATATATGACTGGTACGCTGGAATACTTTGAATTGGGAAGTGTCTAAGCATTAATGAATGTTTTCTCCAACATTCTTCTGTGTATTAAATATTGATGTCAATAAATTTTTGTCTGGAAAGTTCCCAATAAAATCAGACCAAAAGGTGGAGAAACAACCATGCACGGAGAAATGAAAAGATGAAAATTAATCACATGCAAGCTACAAAGTACGCAGGAGTTGTATCCGGAATATTCCATTTAAATTTTATCTAGAACTTTTACCCCAAGGAATTGTTGTACAATGGTTTTGGGCGGAACTTCTTCCCCAAGAAACCTTTTGTTATTATATTAAGATAGATGTCTATTAATCTTCTTTCCCTTTCCTTCGGTATTAAATGCATTTGCTGAAAGTCATTTTGGGTTGTTCTCTCTCTCATGTTGAAAATGTGCCCCAGCCTTCGTCTCCATTGCATCTCCTTCCAAGTAGTTATTCCAATCGTGGATCTGAAAAGGGAAGTTTATTCGAGGAAGAAGGCAGGTTTAGGGGTGTTCATTGTGGGATGCAAATAGCTTAACCAATGAAATTACAATGCTTGATTACATGTGAGCAGACAATGATCTTAATACTCCATGATTAAGATCTATTCTCCACTAACATCTAACCAGGCATTGTAATTTCTTTAGTTAAATGTGCCATAGGGTCATGACGGATTCTATACCCTCAGGATTTGGTAAATTTTGTCTTCTTTTCTTTTCTTTTCGTTCATGGTTGTCAAGCTAAATGAATCAGGGACTTTGTTGCCAAGATACTTAAGATCAAGAGTCTCCTTGTGTGCCTTCAAACTCGTTGGTGTCTATTAGGAATAAAAATACAAACAACACTAGCACATTGCATAGATGTCAAATCAAGAAGTTAGAATTAGAAGTTGTGTATTCATGAATTGATTGAACCTTAAATGTCCTATATAGCTTTACTGAAGGACATTGGGTATCCATTTAGCATTCCTTCTATGGTTACTTGATTATTGTGTGAAGATCACTTGACATATGTTTCTTGGATTTAACACAATATATATTGGTGGTAGTAAGGACCATGTGCGTGTATGTAATGGCATCAAATGAGTGGCTATGGCAGTTGACAACTAACAATAACTTTTACTTCTGTGTTTAGGTGTTGAATGCAGCCTCGATCGATATGAGAGTGGTTCATACAGAGTTAAGGTATTTGCAAATGCTACTAAAGTTGTTGCAGAAGTTAGAAAACCATTGGAGGAGCTTATGAAAGGCAAGGTGATAGAGCATGTGAGTGTTACCCCCACAGTCCTCCAACATCTATTCTCTTGGGAAGGCATCTGTCTTATGAGATCACTTCAACGGGACACCGGGACCTACTTTATGTTTGACAAGCATAACCTTATAGTGAGAGTCTATGGTTCCCCACAAAAGGTTGACATGGCACATCATAAGTTTGTCGATTCACTCCTCGCGTTACATGAAAGCAAACAGCTCATTGTTCATCTCCGTGGAGAATCCTTACCTTCTGATTTAATGAAACGAGTGGTCCAGAAGTGTGGACCCAATCTTAACGGTCTCAAAGAGATGTTCCCCGACGGAAGCTTCTCTCTCAACAGTAAACAGCACTGCATTTACATAAAAGGCACTGCCAAAGATCTGAAGCAAAGAGTTGAAGATGCTATATATGAGATTGCTCAGGAGAGCGGTGTACATATTCAAAGGAACGATGACGAAGCGAGCTGCCCAATCTGCTTGTGCGAGGTAGACGACGGTTACAAGCTTGAATCCTGTCTTCATGTCTTCTGTCGTTTGTGTTTGGTTGAGCAGTGTGAGTCTGCAATCAGAAGCAGAGAGGGTTTCCCGTTGAGATGTCTGCATAAGGGTTGTGGGTCCTCTATCATCCTCTCAGATCTCAAGTCTCTATTGACGGTCGAGAAGTTGGAAGATCTTTTTCGTGCATCTTTGGGTGCTTACGTGGCAGCAAACCCGTGTTACCGGTTTTGCCCGTCTCCGGACTGTCCTTCCGTGTACCGTGTAGGAACAGATTCAGCATTTGTGTGTGGGGCATGTTATGCAGAGACGTGCACCAGATGCCACCTGGAGTATCATCCTTACCTCTCGTGCGATAAATATAAGGAGTTTAAAGACGACCCTGACTTATCTTTGAAGGAGTGGTCGGAGGGGAAAGAGAATGTAAAGAAGTGTCCGGCTTGCCTGTGTACGATTGAGAAGGTGGAAGGGTGCAACCACATTGAGTGCCGGTGTGGGAAACATGTTTGTTGGGTTTGCTTGGAGGGTTTTGAAACCAGTGATGACTGCTATAGCCATTTGAGGGTTGTTCATTTGGCCATTGGATAAGTCAAACACTTGAATCGGCTATATATAACAACCACTGTTTATATACGTACATATCTGCTTCTCTTGTGTATATATGTATATGCTTCTAATATAATTATCCTTGCGGCATTACTAGGCATACGTCGTCTCATCATCAGCATCATCATCATTTTCAATTAGTATTCACATCTTTGCTAATATAATAAGACACAACCAACGTTAACATGGTCCTTTTTCCGTTTACTTCCGTCTTTTATTTTCTTCCGCCCATATCTCTTTCTGTCTGTCTGTTGTATGCACGTTGCCGTCTACCGTTTATACAACCTTACAGTCTCCAAGCGTCGATTCCTTCGCTATGCAAATTCTCCACCACAGCAGTTCATCCTTTCAAAAAACAAAACAAAAAACCACAGCAGTTCATCTCTTCCACTTCTGTCGCGACGCCCTTCCGATTCTCCCCCAGGTACTCATTCTCAATCTCCTGAATCACTTAATTGGGTTGCCATGGAATAAATTCTGAAATGGCTAATTCTCTCCTCAATGTTGAAATCTCCATACGTACAACCTTAGTAATCATCTGGCCTCCTTTTCCAGATTACCTTGTTTACACATTTAGTAAACTTGCTAACCATTTCATAAATGTCCATTACTTGTTCGACAAAATGCCTTAACCACCGTTTAAAATGTAGAATTCAGTTGAACGTATAAAATGAACTCTTGTGTTTAAATAACAGTTAACCCTTGCAGAGCACACTCTACATTCACTTACAATTCTAATTCTAAAATGTATCTCATCTTTTTACATGCTCATTGTTTACTATACTCATGTTAATATTTATCATCGGACATAGAGAAAAAGGCATACACAAATTGAATTGCTTTAAAGATGAATTAAAAAGACAGATATTTTATTCAAAGTAAAACTCAAAAATGAACTTCCATAAGAAAACATTTACTTTGCAACTTTCATTGACACCAATTCCTTGAAAAAACCAAACATTATAACTAAACATACTTTACTTCTTTTAAACTAAGCAACTCTCTCTTATGTGTCAGGGATATACAAATTCCTTAAATAGTGCTTAATCCTTTTCTTTATCCTGGTAGTGCTTTGTGTTTCACACTTTAATATGCTTGTTTATTAGAATTTTAAAATACCAGGTTAAGTTATTAAAACATTCAGGGTAGTGTGAGTTTGGTAGTGCTTAAGCCTTTTCTTTATCCTTACTGGTAGTGCTTTGAGTTTCATACTTTATACTTTTAGTTAATTAGAATTTTATAAGAAACTTGGAGCAAGTGACAACATTAGGTAGGAAAACTCACTTTTTGGAACTTCCAGTTTTAGCAAATAAAACCAGGTACTCCCCAATATAATGCTCTCATTACATCACTACATTGGAATTAGTAGTTGTTAGGGAGATACTTTGGTATACGTAGTATGAACGCGCTTGTTCGAAATGGTTCCTACGAGTTGAAACCTGTGTTTCAAAAATGAGAACACTAATTCAAATGGTTCCAACGAATAGGCGCCCAAATAAGAACATACTTCAAATGTTAATAATTCCTTTAAAATTCACATGCAAAGTGTTTAGGTTTTTTGGTTTTTCAGGTGTTATTGGAAATACGTTTCTTAAATAGTTTAATAATTTCTGTGTCACATGAATACGGTTGAAGACGTCGCCACCCACACAAGGTTTCTTAAAGAAGGTAATCAAACTCAAGTTTCATTTTATATGGTCGGTCTTATTTTGATTTAATCCAAACATTTGTTACCTTAAAAGAGTGTTTTTCTATTCATTCTTGAGATATAAAAATGTGTTCAGTATGGAAGCTATGATCCACTTTGTCCCTTTCCTTGGCCGTGGTTTTTAGAGTGTTCTTAAGTTTCGTATGTTCTGTATTTCTTGGTTTTTGCTATTTTGGTTACAAAATAGATATACCCAGATGCAGATGAGCATATCTCCATTGATACCATTTCAAACCCAGACCTACACTGATTACTAATTTATAAATTTCAGTAAAACTCCACCCTCTATATGACTCAAATTGCATGGGTTAAATACTTGAACTAATGAGTTCATACTTGATTCATTCTATTGCTAACTGCAGAATTGTTTCCTTCTACTTTTTACTTTTTAGTCAAAATTTGTAGATTATGCAGCTCTTTTGTGATGCCTTATTGGTTCTTTATGTGATGATATTACTCCAGTGCCTTTGTATACCTATATTTTCATTTGCCAATTAAATCTGCAACACTTAAAAAGACATAACCAACAAATAGTTGAATAAGTTTTAAGTCATTGTGTGTGTCTATAGGAACTTTCTTTGTTCTTACTGAAACACTAGACCTTATTGACCTACTCCGACTGCTACTGGATAGTTATGCTTTCCACCTGTTTTTTACCAACACCTTAAATTGTGTGGTATTTAAAATAGCTCATTTTGGTAAAAATGTATATATATATATATGAATTCAAGAAGAACCACGGATAGCAGAACAGATGTGGGAAGCACTTAAGACTACAAATGAAAAGATAGGTGTCTGTCTCTCTATAAAGGATGAGCTAGAAGTAGCTCTAGCCTCTAGGTGCACTCTTGAGGGTAATTCAAAAGCTGTAGGGGTTGTGCAGACTTCAGAACTTCAGATTATAAAACTTGACTACCATTTACTTCAATTTTGTGTGGCCATATTTATTTTAATGTTAATAACAGATCAAGAACCACAAATCTTGAAAACACTGCTCTTCAGTAGTCCCAGATCTGCTTATAAAAAGGTATTCATGAAAAGTGATACAGGTGTTGTGGGTTTCAAAGGTCGGCTAGCTAAAGTGGAGCGGTATGAGGAGTTGATCCGTGTACCTCTTTCATCTATGGTGCAATCTATACGTGATTCCTTGGTGGTGACTCGTAGTGGCGACAAAATGTTTTATGTTGCTCATATTTTCCTCTGTTTTAAGATTCGGCTAAATGGGAGCAACGGACGAACTGGTTTCAAACCGTACTGCGTTGTTAGTTTGTTACTGTGAGTGCTGCCTGCTTGTATGAAAGGGAAGATATGGCACAGCCCTCCTGGTGCTTTTTGGCAAAACTGAGTAAACATATTGGAAAAAAGAAAGGTCGGAAACCATAACATATTTGGTCCATTGGCCTCCACCATCACACTCATACTAAAAGGTCATAGGAGGATTAAGCCTCGATGTTATATGTGAGTTTCTATGTAGTTAGACAAGTTAGTGTTTGATGGTTTAACAATGTAAGAGATTAAAATAAATATAAAGAGTAATTCCTAAAAGGAGAATAACAGAGAGTTAATCAAAGGTTTCAATTCTTGGACACCCATATATATGGGGCAAGTCTCCAACTTCATTCAAAACTTCCTTTTTGTAATTAAAAAAGAAAAAAAGTTTTCCATTTACATGTCCAAATCTTCTTGTTTAATGCTCTCATAAAACTAAAAAACTTGAAGCTAAAACTCAATCTTGATGTACTATTGTTCTGACTCTTGTATATAGATAGGATGGTGGCATAGTTGTTATACCTACTGTTCCTAGAGCTACACCAAAGCTACAGACAGATCCCAAGAGCTTGGAAGCCTTCCGTATCAAAGCTTTAGTCTATTATATATACATTGTTGGAATATTGGGTTTTTGTAGGCTAAGTGATCTCTCTCAACTCTTCCGTAAGTATGACAACTAGGAATAAAGCTATTAGTAACTAAAAATGTTTATCTCCTCTCCTTTTTCCTTCGCTTTGTTTCATTTTCATTTCTTTATTTCATTTTGCTAAAGTTTTGTAATTTCAGTCATTGAAATACATTATACATATTAGACTCGCTCCGTTTATGGTATTATTTTAAACCATTGAAATAGCACATGACAGGTTATTAGATCTAATTGACGATATAGTTTTATTACTTGTGACTTAGAGATATTAAAAAATATGGTGCAATTTCCCTATTCTCAATTTATTTCTCTATATGCTCTTTACTTTAATAGAATTGAATTGTGATAAGCACCTGATTTTCTCTAATTCTATTTATAGCTTTTAATCGAAGTGAATCAACACAATTCAATTGTATGTTGTGTTGGTGTTTCCTTAAAAATAATAAAGCCAACACATTAATTCACTTCGAACTCTTGAGCAATTGAGCAAACGACAAGTCCCAGGTCCTCTCTATAGTTGTTGCCTTTGTAAGATTGAAGGTACACGTCATAATTTTCATTAAGTTGAGCCTAACCTAATCCACTATACATATTGCTACAGATAACAAACTTGAATCAAAATCCCGAAGAGATAGTAATAAAATACTTCCCCTCTCCCACTAAGATACTTCCATACTAATTCCGATAAAATTTGTTTGATTCTAAATCATTTTTTACTTTATTCCATAAAATCTAACTTTTATGGAATACAGAGTATATAACAGAGATGGAATATATGACAGAGATGGTATATAACATGTTATATATACCGAACAAATTCCATAAAAAAATCCAAATAACTTTTGTTGTGGCTAACTTACTGTTTCATTGTGAATAAATACTTTCATGACAATTTTTAAAGTTTTGTCCCATAAAGAGACAATAAACTAGACAAATGAATTTAATTTCAATAAAATTTAGCACACAACAATTTCATGAAAGTAAATGCAATTGTTGGGCATCATTCACACTTAATGTGCACTCCGCTAGTCATGAGATAGTTAGATACGTGGGTGCCTCTATGGTCTTAGTTTTGTTGAGAAAGTAATTAATTACGGAATAGATTATCACATTATGTCATTTTCCCAAGGTTCATAGTGAACTAGTGATTGTGATAAAATGTGTATACTATACGTGATTCACTACTTCCATAATTTACGACTCAATTAGATCCTTAACTTTCTTTCGGATGTAATTTCAGGCCCCCATTTAATTGGTCCCAATTTGGTCTTCATATATAATAATTATTCTAAAGAAAGACATATTTGTGTCATAAGATGTCATTACAATTGGCATGTGAATGGGTAAAGTTTGGATCACAATATAGTCAGAGAAGGATCTATGTATGAGTTATAATAGACTGAAGTATAGAGTAACTTAATTTCATTTCAAAGTCTAATATGATTGGTGTTTAGGCTATGTTTGGCACTTCAAGCTGGAGCTGGTGACTGAAGTCTGAAATGAAGACTGAAGTCTGAATTAAAAACTATTGTTCAGAACTGAATTATAAAGTGCTGAATCTGAACTGTTAGCTGAATGAAGTGTACTAGTTTGGCGGAACGAGCTGAAAGGGTGACTGGAAAATGTTAAATTACATTTAAGGGCATAAAATATATTATTCAAAAATATTTATTATAATGATTACTAATTTTTCACCAAAATAGATGCTTTATTTGTCCTGCTTATTTCGTCCTAACCCTTGGTGAACAAGGTTATGCCTCCATAAATCTCACCCCACCAAGTTCCTAATTAAGAATGGAGGATACACATAACACATGCACCGATTAGTTTTCAATTATTGACCGAGAAAAAGTTATATTTTCGGATTTTCCTATAGTTGAGGTGCATCCAACAAAAGACATCGGAAGAATAACTGAATATATATTACTCTTGGATAAGATCTGCACCGGATGGTTAGGGTAGAAAATAATTCCAGAGAAAAAGATATAATAGGCGAAGAACCACAGAGAAGAAGAATTAAAGAAATCGAGCAAAGAATTCTGCAGGGAAGAACCCAGAAATAATGTTGCGTGCAGGGATATTTTAGGAATATAAGTCGATTATACACTCGGCTGAATAGAGACGTTTCGTTTCATAACGTTCCCATTCAGACCTTTATTTTGAGCTTAAGCTCAGTGTAGCCTGCCATCCAAACACACGTACTTCAATAATTATTGGCTGGATTTTCAAAATTCAAGCTCATTATTAGTTGAAATGGTGTGCCAAACATAGCCTTACTCCATGACATCTTAGAATCTCTGATCCGCCCTTGAATATAACGTTTCAGATTCAAACTCGTTAATTGATTTATAGCTTCAAGCCTAATCTGTATATTTGGAGGTAGAATTATTGTTCAGACCTAGACCAATGTGTCCGTAACTAGATTAAGTAGACTTGTTTGATATGGAGTTAACAATATTGGAAATTTTCGAGAAATTATATACCTACATTTGAATTGAATCATAGGGATTGAAAATATATAAATAAAATTAAGAGCTAGCTTGAGACATAATAGTTACATTGCTTTGATAAAATAAAATTGAGTGCGATAACAAAATTAATTACATTTCTCATTAAAATAAATGGAAAAATATTTGTTTGTTTTTCGAATAAAAAAGATGTGTTGTAAAAAAAGGGATGACACCCTATCCCTGAGGGGTCCCCAACACCGACCGGAGGGCACGATGGGAGGATGTAAATTGGGCTATAATCACAATCTTACATATAGAGAGTGGTGCTCCGTCCTCGATACTTGCAGAGGCCCTATGCATTTTCAGCATAGCAACCTCTCATCGCAGTTGCCGGGATTCGAAACTGAGAACTAACCCTTGTGGCATTCTCTCGCTACCAGTTGAGCTACGCCCATTGGTAAAAAAAAAATGTGTTGTGTGCATATGAAATAGCACTAGATGTGTATTTGATAGGCCTAACCACTATGCAACCAAACTTATTGACATGCCTAGTACAACGAAAACAAAAGCTCATTCCATTATTACAACAAATCATGTTATCCGTAAGTGATACATAGCACGTAGTACTTCACACTTGAAATAATTTTAATTTGCATTTTACACTTTACACACAATAGAGTACACCACAATTTTACAAGGTTGATAATACTCATCTTAAGACTTGGATTCCTTTACAAATGTGAATTTTGTAGATGGAGTTTTTACTTCTATTAATTTTGTCACTGGATGATTATTAAAGAATGAAATTGAATCGGTCGTTTCACATCAAATCTTAGGATTTCATTGTAAAGTTAAAGGTAAAGATTAATAATTTAAGAACTTAAATAGAGCGGTTAATACAAGATGGATAATCAAATTAACTGCTAATCAAGAAAGTTGAAGATCAACTTAGTTGGTTTTCTAAATATATGGGCCTATAATAATGAACTGAAACTCAAGTATAAGTCTAAGTCAAAAAGAAGAAAATGGAACCAAATGCAAGGGTGACCCCAGCTATTCCCACACAAAGAGCCTTTGCCATGAACCATGTTAAGGCAGAGACACTATTATCTGCAGTCTTGTACTTGTTCTGCTCATCTTCCATCTGTGAAGCTTGAAGCTCAAGCAACCTGATCGAGTTCTGGCAAGCAAGCAACCGCAGAGAATCTTCCAGGAGCAGATTCGAGAGAGAATCTCTTTCCTTGCATATGAGTTGGTATCTCCTCTCTGCCACTCTTGCCCGAGTCTGGGACAACCTTAGAGCCTCGAGCAGGATGTCTACCTCCTCATTTTCCCAACCTCTTCCACCCTCCAGTGACGCCGCCGCGCCGGAAAACACATTCCGCGGCGGAGCTAAGTCACAGTTCGCAATCATCCGGCTTGCCATGGACCTTTGATTAGCATGCGAGTGGCAGAGTATCGATCAAAGAGCTTATAAGGTTGAAGGCCAGAGGAGATGGATCAGACATTGGGGGGTTATCAGAAGTGGGGAGATAAATCATATGCTAAAAAACTTATTGGTTTTTTGGGGATTGGTGGGGTCCGCAATTAGAGTGGGGACGTGGGGTTTGATATTATCCCTTGCTTGCTTTGGGTATGAGTAAAGAAAAACTATTATCAAATTAACATACAAACCTACGGAATTACGGAAACTATCAGAAAAGACCATATTTTCGATTTGGAGATTACGGAAACTATCAGAAAACTTTCAAAATAAGCGTGTTTTGAGCATAAGTTGATGTTTTTCGTTTCTCATTTCCCATTTCCTCTTGATTTCCGCACTTTCGTGCAACACAGATATAAACTTATTTATTATTTCAACATCAAACTTTAATATGATATCAAAACTAAACAATTTTCAATGATTAATTAGAGCTTAATAAGATTCAAGAACGAGCTACTTTTACTCTATTTGTTTGGAGGATTAGTTTGTTCATGTTGACTATGTAATCTTAAAACGTTCTTAATTAGACTGGTTTCAGTCTAAGAGTAGATCAAGTCAGCCTTAATAGACAATAGATAATCATAGCAGATCACATCAGATCAAAATTCGATAGTAGTAAAATACACATAGAATACATTTCTAGTAAACTAGACCAGTTGAGATCATATTAAAAACCAGACAAGACGAGAAAATTACATTTCAATTAAAATCATGCTGATTGATGTGACACCCTTCAATACTATATTATTTCGTGTTTTGATGTGACACAAAAACTTAAAAGGTGAAGATTGATAGAAGTTGAAACTTGTAGAGAAAGATATGCAATATTAATCACATCTTTGTATTGAAATTAAAAAGTTACTCTATATATTAGAGCAAAGATAAATATAAGTTTATATTGGAAAAAGAAAGATAATACTCGGTGGAATTCATAATTTCTTGAATCTTTTTTTGTATTGTCGTAATGTTATTTCCCATTTTATTGCCTAAAAAAATATGTACGGTTGATAATTGAAATGGTTGCTTTCTATCATAGATTAAGGATGTTTTCTTTTGGACTGTTTTCAGTCCCAGACCAGACCAGACTTAAACAGACCAGATCAGACCATACTTAAACAGACCAGACCAGACCAGACTTAAACAGACCAGACCAGACCAGACCAGACTTCCGTAGTTATAAAATACACAGAGACCAGACGTTTACCAGACCAGTTCAGACCAAACTTAAACAGACCAGACCAGACCAGTTCAGACCAAACTTAAACAGACCAGACCAGACCAGACTTAAACAGACCAGATCAGACCAGACCAGCAAATTTCAGTCCAAAAGAAAACATTCTAACATATTCACATAGCGTACGAATCGTAATAATACTTAAAAAAATTGGAGTGGGAGAGTACATTGTTTTACGTTTCAATTGATTGAAGCTAAATGAAACCGCGGCCACCGTTGTTTATAGGTGAAAGTTTTCAGGTGTTACGGCTTCAAAAAGCATTAATGCCGTGTTTGGATAAGCATAAGACGGGGAAGAAAGAAGTTGAAGAGTGAAAAATAAGTAGCGTTCAGTGTTGCACCTTACGGGAGCATATTAATGTTCGTTGGCGCTTTGCTCTTATACTTCTATGCAACGTTCACGCAATTGTATCATTCAGCGATGCTCGCTACAAAAAAGGACCACTATATTAGATCTTGACATACTCCGTAATATTTAAGCAGAAAATAATAAAACTAATGAATTATGTAGAAAAATATAGGAGATAAGATGAATAAACAGGAAGTAGAATATGAAAAATAGAAAGAATATATATGAGTAAATAAGTATTTTTAAAGAAAAAACTTACCATAAATGAATAGTGTATCATATTTTTAAATAGATTATAAATACAAAGTGTAATAAACTTTTAAATACGGAAGGAGTATTGATTAAAGAAATAGCTCTAAATAAGTAAATATGAATAAAAATGATTTTCAATTTCAAAATATTGTTAAATATTTATTCTCTAAATATGAATTCTCATGCTTAGAAAATACAAGTAATTATGTTAGTATACTAGTATAACTAAATTTTGTAAACATTCCCAAATAGGACTAAATGAAATTTTAATTGTTGAAATAGTATCATAACTTAAAAATTCCCTAAATAGGACTAGCTTTCCAATTCTACCCTTGTTTTGTTTTAATACAATTCATATTTCATTAATAATTATAAATTAAAAGTAATAGCATAAATTTATTTATAATAAAAATGTAAAAATGAAATAAAAAACAAGAAATAAATATTAGAAAAAATTAAAAAATTAAAAAATCAAAAAATAACTTTTTTCAAAAAATAAAAAAATGTAAAGAAAAATGTAAGCCTATGTTGCCGCCTCAGCAACCTTCCAATACCACTAGCTTCAATCACCGAAAAATAATGGCAACATGTGTCAGAAATGACATCTTGATGACAGTTTTCAAATTTTTTGACATTTTCAAAGAATAAAAATGTCATTTTTATAACGATTTTAGAGAACAATTGACAATGTTTACACAAAATAGTTTTTTTTTTAACAAATCAAAGGTAACATTGTTGGGAAGTGACCGAGACTGTGGGAAAGACCTCAATATTTTTTTTTAAATATTTTAAGGGCGTTTTATCTCTTTAATTTTTAGGAAAAATAACGTACTTTAAATAATACAAACTATCTTCCATAAATAAAAAATAATACACACTTTGGAAATTAATTTTAATAATACAAATTATCTAAATATAGACAAAAAATGATACTACCTCCGCCCTCCCTAAGTTTTGGACAAGAGAAGGTGACACGGTTATTAATAAAGTTGAGTTTATGTGGTTGGTATTGAATTGATAAAGTAATAATAAAGTAGGAACGATTTAGAACCAGACAAACTTTACCAAATAAAGTATGGGACAATCTTAGTGGGACGGACCGAAAAGGTAAAATGAGACAATCATAGCGGGACGGAGGGAGTATATAGCAATTTCTAAATGAAAACTCACTTATTTAATTCATCAAAAACTAGTATGAAAATATCAAATGAGTGATTGTATTTCCAAATATTATTTATTCATTACTCATGTTTAAGGAAAAACAAAATACTACTATTTTGAAATTTTACATTATTTTTAATACTGTTTTGGAAATTTTCTCAACTAATTGAACATTTAATTTTTATAAGTTACACCAGTTTGTTTCGAACAGAGGTGTGTGTCAGAGGTGTGTGTCACCCATACTCATAGGGATATTTTTGTACAAACACTTATAATTGCTCTTATTTAGGGAATTTAAACCAATAATTCCATAAATCTTCTTCGGGGTCATTCTAGCTATTGAGTCCTAATTTAGTAGATAGGGCCAAAGGTGAATATTTGGAGCTTTTAGAGAAACAAAATCAGTATTGGCATCAGCGGGTCAAGGAATTTTGGCTTCAGGAAGGAGATTTAAATACTCATTATTTTAACAATGCATTGAAGCAGTGGAGGAGGAAAAATAGAGTGGAGGGGATTAAGATGGAAGTGGGTGGGTGGGTGGGAGAGGGATAGGGGGTGAGATTAGCAGATTGATTGGTGATTATTTCACTAATATTTTTTTTTTCAGTACACGCGGATTGTGAATTTGTGTCCAACTGCGTTGAGAGAAAGTTTGAAAACCACCATAATCTGGAGTTGCTGGTCCCCAGGACCTCATGGGATGAGCTCGAGTTTTTTCTAACATTTCTGGAATCTGATAGGACTCGATGTGGTAGAATTTTATAAAATTGTTTTTGAGACTGCTATATTTCCAGAGTACGTGAATAATACTCATATTGTCTTGATCCCTAAAAAAGAGCAACCGAATGTTATAGGGGATCAAAGGCCTATTGCTCTTTGTATTTTCGTGTATAAAATTTTGCAAAAAATTTCTAACATAATGAAAAATTACATGTTTGTGTTTCTGAACAAGAAGGTGCATTTATCCTCGGTAGATCAATCATTGATAATATAATGATAACTTTGAGTCTCAACATTTCCTAAAAAGGAAGAGGCAGGGCGAAATGAGTTGCACGCCTCTTAAACTAGACATGAGCAAGACTTACGACAAAGTGGAATGAATCTTTCAGTAGAGGATGTTAATGTTAAAACTCGAAGTCCATCCTAAAAGGCCGTGGTATGAAGGGTAGCCCAAAATCGATCTATATAGTGTTTTATTGTTTTATAGCTCGTTCTTTTACTCTGCAATGGCCTCTTAATCATGGGTACTCACATTTTCAGCTGGAAACTAACTTATCGCCTTATTTCTCTTCTCCTGGATCTTAGCTATGATGGTAGATGGAGGACATATCTCGCAAGCATACAGACGGACAATAGCTGGGGAAATGTTATTATTCGATACATCTTTTGACAGGTTAATTGGACCGCTCATTATTTATCCCATACCTTTTCAGATGATTCAGATATTTATTTGCTCTCTTTTTTCCATATTAATAATGTTCACCATCTAGTTAGAAAATATATAATTTCAGACTCTATAGGTCTTCCTCATTTTAGATTCCACTTTGATTATGGGTAAGGTCTATGCCCCCATTGTATTCATGTTTTCTATTAATAAAACCTAGTAAATGTTCCCCAGCATTTACCCAACCGACTTAGGTGCTTTACCTTAATGAGTTAAAAATATTGTTTTATAGCTTTCCGGTGTGAGATAAATACTTTAACACGCCCTCTCAACCTGAACCGAACGGGATAATATTGAGATGTATAAACGAACCTAATAGGCCCTTAAAAAGCTACCATTAATCGTGAGTGCTAAACAAGCAATCAAACAACTTGAGTTTTCTGATACGTCGGTGCAACTCATTATGGAATGTGAGTGTTCGGTTTCGTACTACGTTCCTTTTGATAATATGAGTTGGGACCTATTTAACCGACTGAATACTTTCCCCCTTACTTGTTTATCCTTGTCGCGTGTGGATGAATTGAGTGTGCTTTTACGCTATCCGGAAGATATGGCATACTCATGGTGTGGGGATGGCTAGGGAGCACCGGAAATTTCACACTTGCTATTTGCAGATGATAGCTTGTTGTTTTTTCAAGCTAGCTTAGGTG